GGGGTGGGGGGCGGAGAAGGGGCGGGGGCCCATGTGACCGGCTCAGACCGGTTCTGGAGACAAAAGGGGCCGCGGCGGCCGGAGCGGGACGGGCCAGGCGCGGGAGGGAGCGAAGCAGCGCGGGCAGCGAGCGAGTGAGCGCGCGGGGCGGTGGAGGGCGCGCGGCTGCCCCTCGCCGGCCCGGCCGCTGCCGACCCGGGCCTGGAGGCGGGGGTGGGGGCTGAGCTGCGTCCTGGGCTCCGGGCATCCCCCGGGGAGACGCCTCCCGGCGGGCACCCCAACTAGCGGCGAAGGGCCGCCCCTTTAGCGGTCCGACTCGGGCCCGGAAAATGGGGCGAGCTGGGGTGGGAAGTCCAGGCACGCGGCCCCCGGTGGGGAAGGGGACGGGCGAGGGACTCTGACCCGTGCTCTCCCCCCAGGATGCAGCACCGAGGCTTCCTCCTCCTCGCCCTCCTCGCCCTGCTGGCGCTCACCTCCGCGGTGGCCAAAAAGAAAGGTGATGGGGGGCTGCTTGAAGGAGGGCTGGGGACGGGCAGGTGAGGCCCAGAGCCCGGAACCCCAGGAAGGCGGTCCCCAGGGAGTCTCCCCGCGCCCCACCCCGGGTCCTGAGCTCTGTTCTCCACGCTTTGTAGACAAGGTGAAGAAGGGCGGCCCGGGGAGCGAGTGCGCGGAGTGGACCTGGGGGCCCTGCACCCCCAGCAGCAAGGACTGCGGCGTGGGGTTCCGCGAGGGCACCTGCGGGACCCAGACCCAGCGCAGCCGGTGCAGGGTGCCCTGCAACTGGAAGAAGGAGTTTGGAGGTGAGGTGGGGCGCAGGCGGAGGGCAGGAGAGGGGCCGCATCCTCAGGGGAACCTGGGCAGACATGTGGCGGGAGGCCTCAGGCCTCCCGGCTCTGACGGAGCCACTCTTCCGCCAGCCGACTGCAAGTACAAGTTTGAGAGCTGGGGGGCCTGTGATGGGGGCACAGGCACCAAAGTCCGCCAAGGCACCCTGAAGAAGGCGCGCTACAATGCCCAGTGCCAGGAGACCATCCGCGTGACCAAGCCCTGCACCCCCAAGACCAAAGCCAAGGCCAAAGGTCAGCAAGGGAGGCAAGGGTGGGGTTGTCACAAAGGGCTGCCCCCGACCTGCGAGGGGAATGGTTAAACCTGAAGTTTTGGGTCCTGGCCAGTGACTTCTTGACATCACTCCAGTCTGTGGAAAAATCTTAGAGGCGGGCACATGGAAGAGGGTGGCCCACACAAGGTGCTCAGGAGATAAATCCTCTCTGGCCCAAGTAGGGACACACTCAAACTGTTCTGTTGGAGCATTTGGCGTAAGAGCCAGGAAAATTGTCCCCGAAGCGATGCCTTTGTCAGCTTTCCAGCCGGAGGGCGCATTTGGTCCCCTCTGCCCTTTCTAGAACAGGAAAGATTTCACTGCTGCCTCACTTAGCTCATTCCTGACTCAGCTCATGGAGGCCAGCAGGGCAGAGGTGAATCTGCCTGCCTCTCAGGTGAGGGCCCTGAGGCTGTTCAGCCTGTTGTGACCAGGACTGGGACTGGGAACTTGAAGGTTTTCTGATCTCAAGTGAAAATAGGAACCTGGCGGTGTTGGGAAGGTCCAGCACCATAATGGCTGCGCCATCCCACCTGCTTCCGGGTCAGCTGATCAAAGACCACTAGGGGGTAGAATTTTCTTCTCTTTATGTTAGTGTTTGTGTCGTGGGGGGGGTCTCTACTGGGTCACCCTAACTGCTAATGTGGTATTTCTTTCTTGTTTTACAGCCAAGAAAGGGAAGGGGAAGGACTAGAGGCCAGGCCTGGATGCCAAGGAGCACCTGGCTTTACCTGGGGCCTGGCCCTGCCCTCCCCGCAGGCCGGAGATATGACCTACCAGTGCCTTTTGTCTACTCGTAGCTTTATCAATCATGCCCTGCCTCTTCCCGCTCACTGCCCACCCCCAGCCCAAGTGCCCACAGTGGGGAGCAGCGAGGGAGTCTGGGAAGCTCGAGCCCCCCCAAAGGGATTTCGTTCCCAGTACCCCTGTTTGTTCTTCCCCACAACGATGCCATTACTAAGAAACAAATAAACCAACTTCTTTTCCCAATAAAAGCTTTTCTTTTTTAATATATAAAAGCCCCTTCCCAGGGAGTTTGCTGTGGAAATTTGTTTGGGGGTAGGAATGTGGGGGGGTGGGGAGACGAGGCTGTAGGGACTGGTGGGTTTAGGGGGGCTGGGGGCTTGGTGGTGAGTGCTCCCAGAGCTTGTGGAAAAAGCAGAACATTTGTGAAAATTTCTTCCAGGGCCCTGGAAGGGTGCCCCGCATCAAGTCCCTAAGCCTTTGAGCCCATGTCTCTCCCAGGGACCTCACCAGGGCTGGGGCAGGGAACTGATGACTCACTGGAGCTGACGTGCCCATCTTGGTCTCACCCAGTAGAAGGTCTTTTGGTCCAACCCACCGCTAATCAGGAAGGTTCTGCCCACTGGGGAGTGTAGACACAGAGGCTGCAAGCTTGCCCGCCTCATGGCCCCTACTGTCCCTGACACCTGTACGGTCAACAGGTTTACCCCCTTCCTCTCGCCCTTGTGACCCAGGCCTCCTCCACCCAGCAGAGGCGGAGGGGCGGGGAGGTTTGAGGAGGGTGGATGGGAACACTGCCCACCACAGCCCCACCCCAACTGTGACCTGGGACAAGCCCTCTCCTGGGGGAGGGGGTCCTCCAGGACAAGGTGGACCACTCGGCTCAGCCTGGAACCGCAGAAGGCTAGACCTCAGTTCCTGTGAGTCCCTGACCTCCCAGCTGCCCCATCCTGAGGTGACGGGGCAGTGCTGCAGGGGGTGGGGGGGCACAGCCCCCTCTGCCTGGCCTCTGGCATGCCCACCCATCCACCCAGAGCCTGGCTGAGTAGCTGCAGCAAGAGATTTCTACCCCGGAGTGGGACGTGGGGAGAGGGGGCTGAGCCTACATGCGGGGGCGCAGGGGCAGAAAGCACCGATTACAGCAGAATGGGGGACCTCATCCTTCCACGCCCCTCATGAGCCTCCTTCCCCAAGTGCTGGCCCCGAGCCTGGAACCCCAGGAAGGCAGACCCTTTGCTCCTCTGGAGGACGCCCTGGGCTTCAGCTGCCCTCCAGATGTCCGCTCTTTCAGCCATGCTGATGGTTGGTCACAGTGGGGCAGATGCCCAGCCAGGCCAGTGCCCCCAGCCCCGTGAAGCAGGGTGACAGAGATGGGACAGGCAGTCCCAGTTCAGAGCTGCCTCAGCCTGAGCACGGATCTGGTCTCTGAATCCAGCCAGAGCCTCTTGAGCCCCATGGGGCCTTGGAGACCTTGGTTCTCCTCTTCAGCAAACGTGAACACAGAGTGGTGCCACCAACTCTTCCCCCACAGCCTGTGAGCCATGTGGTCCCCCAGCGCACACACGCGACACCAGCACCTCCTAGGGCACCCCTGCTGCCTACCTGGCAGTGCCAATGTTACGATACTGGCATAGCAGCAGGTGCCGGAAGGTCTTTTTAAAGGTGGCGTTGCAGAGAGCGTAGCAGGCGGGGTTGATGGTGCTGTTCACGTAGCAGAGCCAGTAGCCGATGGACCACACCGTGTCAGGGATGCAGCTCTGGCAGAAGGTGTTCACCAGGACCATGACATTGTAGGGCGTCCAGGTGAGGATGAAGGCTAGCAGAATGGCAAAGATGGTCCGGGTCACCTTGCGCTCCCGGGCCGCCATCTGCCGCTTCTTTCGCACCTGGTTGCGAGCAATGCTGGCAAACTTGCGGGCCACGTTGGCCGCAGGACGCATGCCAGCTGGCGTGGCAGGCACAATCTCGATGGCTGTCACGCACTCATTGCCCGTCTGCTTCGTCACAATCTGGATCTTGGACCATTTTGAGGCTGGGTTGAGGGCCCGTGGCTGCAGGGGAGGGGCAGGCATGGCAGGTGTGGTGGCCTCTGTGGTTGACAGCTCTGTGGGTGGTCGCTCCTTGGTGTTCTGTGTGGCACTGCCTGAGCTGGACTCATTGGAAGTGTCCTTATCCGCCACTGGGCGTGGTGGCGGGGGCAGGGCCGGCGGAGGGGCCTCTTCGAGCTTCCCATTGCGCAGCTCTTCCCGGGCGGCTTCTCCTGGCGGGGGTTTCTTGACACTCTGCTTCATCAGGGGGCTCTTGAGAAAGGCCAGGGTCTTGGCCTTCTTCTCCTTTGGGCCTTCGGGCCGGTGCTTGTGGACCCGGCTGCGGCTGGCCAGGGAGATGTGGATGTAGAGCACCGTCATGATGACCACGGGCAGGTAGAAGGCAGCAATGGCTGTGCCGAAGGTCACGGCCGGGTTGGACAGGAACTGGATGAAGCACTGGTTGTCAGGCACTGTCCGCTTGCCCACCACAAACTGCCAGAACAAGATGGCAGGCGCCCAGAGCACGAAGGACAGGACCCAGGCAGCGGCAATCATGAGGCCTGCCATCTTGGTGGTGCGCCGGGCGGGGTAGGTGAGGGGCTTGGTGACGCAGAAGTAGCGGTCAAAGCTGATAATGAGAAGGTTCATGACTGAGGCATTGCTCACCACGTAGTCCAGGGCTAGCCACAGGTCACAGACCACGGCGCCCAGGGGCCAGTAGCCCTTGATGATGTACACGGTGTAGAGGTTCATAGAGAAAGCGCCAATGATGAGATCGGCGCAGGCCAGGCTGAACAGGAAGTAGTTGTTGACTGTCTGCAGCTGCCTGTTGACCTTGATGGACAGCATCACCAGGATGTTGCCGACCACAGTTACCAGGCTCAGCGAGCCTGTCACGGTGGCGATGAATACCATCTCCACTGTCTCGTAGCGGTTGTGGCTTGACGTGACCAGGCGCACGGACTGGTTGCCTGAGCTGCCGTTGACTGGCGTGAAGTTGGCCATGTTGGTCAGCGTGGTGGGCGGCAGGGTCTGGCGGAGGAAGGAGAGAAAAGGGGTGAACCGTTGGAGAGGACAGAGGGGTGCTGTGCAGGTAGTCTGGGGTCAAGGTGACAGAGGAACATCATCTGGCAGACTTGAGAGAACTCTGTCCCATCCTCCCTCATTCGTTCATTCATTCAACATTTACTGAGGGCCTGCTATGTGCCAAGCACTGCTTTAGGGGCTGGGGCTGCAGAAGTGCATGAGATGCACACGGTCTCCATCTTACGGGGGGGAGACGTGCAAACACGTGCGCAACAAAAAGAGCACTAAAAAGAAATAAGGCAGGGTGACGGTTGATGAGTCAGAAGACAGGACGGCGATGCCTCCTGGCTGGGTGATCAGGGAGGCTTCACGCAGCAGGTCGTCTGGGTGATGAGGAGGAGGCAGCCACATGACGAGCTGAGCTGCAGAGCGTGGTCTCACCAAGGGCAATGGCAAGAGCGAAGGCCCAGAGGCACGTGCAAGGCCCGGGCAGAGGCCAGTGTGGGTGGAGCCCAGGGGAGGTGGAGGGGATGGGTGGTCCCAGAGGCCCCCGGCATGTGAGAGTGTCCATCCATTCACCCACTCTGTCATTCTCAACACGTTCCCAGGGGACCTGCTCTCTGGTCCCTACAAAAGGCTCTGGAGACAAAGACAGTAATACGAGCGTATAACATGTACCATCTACTAAGTGCTGGCACTTTCCACACTTTTCATAGCATTAACTCATTTCATTGTCAAAACAAACTTGTGAGGTAGATACTGTTATTATTATTTTTTTTAAACTACTTACAGATGAGGAAGCTGAGGCACAGAGATGTTAAATAACCTGAGCAAGGTTCCACAGCTCTTGACATCATGTTGCTGGTGGAGGTAAGTATGTGGTATGTGGCATGAAGCTGGCACCTCAAGGACGAGGAAAGGAGAGTGCCTTGCAGGAGAGGCTCAGGGAGGGACCTGCGGCTGTGGCATCCCCTTCCCTGAGCCCTCAGCTCCGGCGTCAGGGCATGGGACTGGGGCCGGGGAGTGTAGGGGCAGCTGGGGGATGTCAGCTTCCGGGAGGGGACTGAGACCCCTGAGGCCCGACTGGGAACCCACCCTGAAAGGATTGTCCCAGAGGACAGAGAAGGGCTGCCGGGGAGCCTGTGGTCAGTCCCTAAAAGTATCCCTGCCCTCCCCAGCTGGGGTCCCCTGGCACAAGGCCCCTCCCCAGCCTGCCCTCCCTCCCCAGGCTCCTCGCCAGCTCTCCTGCCCCTCTTCCTCTTCCCTGCATGTGAGGGAGGCCCACGCCAGCGCTCGGTGCCAGGGCAGCCGCTCAGCCCAGCCTCCTTCACACCCGCCAACACACACCCCGCTCCACATACGCACACGGGCCCATCACAGCCACGCCAGCCCAGCAGGCATGGTCGCAGACATACGCAGTTCTGTGCGTCTGTGTGTGACAGAGAGGGCCCGGCAGCCCTGCGTGGAGGAAGAAGCACGGAACTGCAGCCTGGGCTCTAGCTGTGTGACCTGACACAAGCCACCTCACCTTCCTGCACCGCCTTCTCGTTCGCAAAATAGAGAGGACCCTGTCTTGGGATAGCCTCCACAGCAGCTCCAGGGACCTGCACCACACTGATTCCTGGATCCCTGCACCTAAATGGGAAAACGCACTGGAGGCTGGGGCCAAGTGCCGGGGTCACCCTCCCAAGTCTGACCCTGGTCCCCCAACTCCACCATCTCAGACCCAGCCTCCTGGCCTGATAGTTCAAGTTCTCCTGTTCTAAATCCTTGGTTCGTAGAAGGAGAGAGGCTGAGAGCAGGTGGTGCCACCCCCCAAGGTCAAACAGTGAGTCAAGGGCAAAGACCAGATACCACCCTCTCTCAAGGCCTCTGACAGCCCGGTTCAGCTCTGAGAGCCTGTGGAGTGGAAGCTGAGGCATCACCCTGTGAGCTGGGAGGACAGCAGCCCCCAGCACGGAGAGGCTGCCCTGCTCCACCCACCCTTGGGCCTGCAGGCAGGGACAAGGCCGGCAGGAGTGATCAGCCAGCCCCAAGGGAACTCTCATTTTAGCCTCCCAGGGCCAGGACACAGGCAGGTGGGATAATAGCAAATGGTCTAGAGGTGCTAAATAAGAAAACACAATAGCTCTTGTTTATTGAGTGTTAACTATGAGTAAGGAATCTCTCTGAGCCTTTGATGTAGATTATCTGGTTTAATCCTTACAACAGCCTGAAAAGGTAGTTACTATTAGTATCCTCATTTTACAGATGTAAATATCCTCTTACAGATGAAGAGGATGTTAATTAACTTGCCCAAAGTCACCCCAGGGCCAAGCGTTAGAACCCAGGAGCAGCCTTCTTAACTCCAAGGTGCTACTGCTCAGAGAGGCCTCTGCTCTCCCCTGCCCCAAAACCACACGCCTGGGGACCATTAAGCGAGGCTTTGGTAAGATCCCTTCCCAATTCCTGCTGGCTCCCCGACTTAAGTTTTCCCAGAAGACAAGAGACCTCTGAGCCGGGACAATTGGATGGCTGGTGGTTTAAGTCCTGCTCTTAAGGCCTGTTTGAGGGAGCTGCCAGCTGCATACAGAGCGAGGCTCAGTGTCTCCCCGACTCCGCCTCTCTGGACCTATCCGGGTCACCCCGCAGACATTCCGGCCGCAGGCCCCTCCGGCGCGTTTCCCTGGAATTCAGGCCCTCCTGGGATCTGGGGAGCCGAGCACCAGAGGCTGTGCGCACCGCTAGATGGCAATGTCGGTCCCTGAGTGCCCGCTCGGGACCTGGAGCGTGCGGTCGCTGTCCGCCAGCGCCCTCAACTCCCACGCGACTGCGAACACTCAGGAGCCCCCACATAGAGCCTCCAGAGGGAGGGACGTGGGGCCCCTCTCCAGGCCCCGCCAGACACCGCCCCGGAGCTGCTCTCGGCTTCGCGCGGGGTTCAAGGGTGGGAAAGTTAAGGGCGCCGGGATTCTACCCGGCATCCGGCGAGGAACGTGTGGGTGGGAACGCGAGTGCGAGTTCTGTTTGTGTGTGACTACGGGGGAGCGCGAGTAGACGCTAGTAGCTGTCTGCATGTGTGTGCGCACCGCCACGCCTGGATACCAGTGCGCCCGTGAGCGCGTGAGCATGCCGCGCCATGTGGACACGTGCATGTGCATGCGTGTGCGTGCCTGGGGTGCTGTGGCCCGGAGGATGCACACGGTTCGGGTGCCTCTGGACCTGTGAACTTGTGTGCACGGCAAATGCAGGGCAGGCAGTGGGCGACCGGTCACATTTCAAACGCCCCAGCCGGGAGAAGCAGCCCAGACCTTAGCTGTCTGCCTGAGCGCAGAGAGGGTCGGGCCACATGCCGGCGTCCGGATCGCGCCTGGCCGTGGGGAAAGGTCGCAGGGGCAAGACGAGGAGGCCTTACACCACGGGCTGCGACGGGCCCCCTGACTTTGGGACAGAGTCTTAGCCGGTTGCTCAGAGGTGTCCGCGTCCTCAAAGATGGGGCGCAGAGTCCCAGCGTGGGATTGACTTCTGTCGAGGGCCGCTGCGAGAGTCGCCCAACCCGGCCTCGAGGAACACCCGGCCGGACTCAGGACGCCCTACGGCGCGTTATCGCCAAAAGCCGCCGGGTCTCCCGGCGAGAAGGCACCGGCAGTACGCCCATAATGCGGCGGCCCGGACCGGCTTGGGTCAGGCGAGTGTAAGGTTCTCCCCTCCTCTCCTCACCCCGCACTCTCCCCCGGAGACACAAAGTGGGCACCCGGTTTCTCCCACTGGGGTCGGCCCGGGTCGAGGGCCGGGTTCGGGCTTACTCCTGGGCCCATCCGGAGGCTCATCCGCATCTCCGCGGTGGTCGAGGGGGCCCTGGCTCTCCGGGGGCCCGTCCTCCCTCTACCCCTCTGGCACGCAGGTCCTGTAGCCTCTGGGCGTGGGCACCGTGCTTTCCCGGGTCCTCGAGCCCTCCCTTCCCCGGACAAGACGAGAGGGGGTGCTCCGGCCGCCTGCGGGGTGGGTTGGGGCGTAGGTCTTCGATTTTTAGGCGTTCACTCCAGGGCTCTAGGGAGACTGTGGCCTCTAGATCTGTCCGCGGGGCGGGAGCGGAGACTCCAGAGTTCAGAGGAGGAAGAGGGACGCAGGGAGATTAGGCACCGACATGGTGCCCGACACTTCCGCGGCGGGGCCGGGAGTGGGGGTTGGGGGCTTGGACAAGCTGGATCGCCCAGGCTCGGAGCAAAGGCAACGGCGGGGGGTAGCCCTGGAGGGGGGGAGGGGTGCTGGGAACGGGCAGGGGTGTTTTCCGTCGGGGCTCAAGGTCGTTGATGGAGGACTCCATGGGCCGGAGTGGGCCGGCAGCGCGGGGGAGAGAGGGAGGGAGGGCGGGGAGACGGGCGGGAAAAGGGCTCTTTGGGGCTCCAGTGCCCGGCACCCTGCAGAGCTGCCAGTGGGAGGGTTGGAATGCGGGGTCCCACCCCCGACGGCTGCCCCAGGCTCCGTGGGGGCTGTGAGCAGGCACTCCCCACCCACGACCTCCTGAATGCCCATCCCTTCCCGGAGGCGCACCTGGGCAAGCCTCGGAGAGACCCCGGGCCTCTTTCCCAGCAGGATCCCCCACCCCCGGGCCCTCCGCCGCTCCCAGCACTGCGCTCTTCCCTGAAGAGGTCTGGTGCCCCGTCCCAGCAGGACCCGCCTCTGGGGAGCCTCAGAGGGTCCCGGAGACCCAGGTCTTTCTCTTCCAACCGAGCCCCCCGCCCCCGCGCCGCCGCGGAGTCACTTACCCTCCGCCTCTGCCCCGCTCCCCTTGCGCCGGACAGACGGCGGGACAGAAGGGAGGCCCCGCGGGCCCGCGGGGCTGGCGGCCGGGCCGTGGGCGGGGACGGGGTGCCGAGGGGCGGCCCCTGCTCCGCCCGCAGCTCCGGGCGCTGTGGCTCCGACTCGCGCTCACGCTCGCACTTTTCCCCGAGCCGCGTGATGTCACGGGGAAGCAGCCAATCGTGGTGGGGCCGCGCCGCCCGCCCCGGGCCGGTCACCCAGCGGCGACGCGCGGGGGTCACCACCCGGGGCGTCGGAGACCCCAGCGGCTCGCGCCCCTCCCTGGAGCCGGCCAGCAGGTCCCAGCTCCCGCACAGAAAGGGCACCGCCCTCAGTCGCCAGTGCTGGTTAGCAGGGGGCGCTGCCCTCCGGGGGGTGGGGGTGTCCGCGTTGTCATGGGGACGCGGCGCCCCCTCGCGGGCTGGGGAGGGAGCTGGCAGCCGGGTCTGGCTGCGCTCCCGCCTCCGCCCTGACCGCGCACCCGGGACCCCGAGGTGTATCCGCGCCTGTCTGGGACCTCACGCCCCTGCATGGCCCCGCTCGCGGTTTGACCGCGGAGGCCCCAGTGCTTGGCCCCAGCGGGAGGTTATGGGAGGGTGGGTTGGACTCTGCCACCGCGGTTCCGTCGGGGCAGAGGGATGGGAGTTTCCAGCCTTGGGGCTGTGTGTTGGCCACCAGGCAGCCCAGAGGAGGGGCGCCGTCGGGGCCTGGGAAAGCGCAGGAGAGAGCCCGGCGGGGGTCGGCTGGGGAGAGAAGAGCCCGCCCATCGCAGACAATACGCCCCACCAGCTCGGCTCCCCGCTCCCGCGCTCCGGGACCGGGAAGGGGCGGCACCGGGTCTCCCAGGCCCACATGGGACGCGCCGCCCATCCAGCCGCGGCCTGGAGAGTGAGTTCACCGCTGCCTGTGAGGGAAAACCAGGTGCCGAAGGTCACCTGGGGCGGAGCCCGGGACAAGACCCCAGAGAGCGAGCTACCAGTCGCAGAGGTCTCTGAGAACCGCACTGGCTGGAGCCTCGGGACGCGGGGCCTTGTCTGAGCAGGGCGCAAAGTGGGGCGGCTTCAGCACCTCGGAGAGCTCCGCCTCGGCCTTGGCTGGGTGGCCTCGGCTCCGCCTCACCCGGCACCGGCGCTGTCTCCGTCCGAGACAGCCCTTCCTGGGGCCGCCCGGGGTCGGACGCGTCCCTCCGCACCCGGGCCCCGAGGCCCGTCACCCCACACTCTCTCAGCGCAAACACCCGGTTAACCTTACGACGCCGGTTCCTTCTCTTGGGAAAACAACTCAGATCCCCTCCCCTCCCCACCCTCCCCCACGGGCCGGCGAGGGGCGGGAAGGGCGGGTGGGCGTGTGGGGGAGGTGGGGCGGGGGCAACGGCGGAGAATAGGCAGGAGCCTGCTGGGTGAGAAGGGGAGGGAACCCAAGCAAGAGCCGTGTGGGGTTCTCCATGCCGAACGTGGAGGCGGAGGTCGGGTCCCAGTGCTCCGAGCGTCAGGCATGGGGCTGATCAGAGTTGGGAACTCCAGGGCTGGAGCTGGCTGGCTGGGCTAGAGCGAGAAGCCATCTTACTTTACGTGAGTAATCTGGTCTCGCACGATCCGAAAGAAATGCTGTTGTTCTTGCCCCACTTCACAGATGAGGAAAGTTGGTTCAGTCCTGTGCTTGTGGCACTTTGCCATATCCCTCCTAGGGTCCAGGAGAGGGTGGTGCTCCTAGGAGAGTCCAAGAATGTGTGCCTATGTGGGGGAGGGGGCGGATCCTTAAAATAGTCAGATGGGAAGACAAGCAAAGCCAAGGACTGGAGGCCACCGAAACCAGAAATGCCTCCAACCACTGACTCGAGCTCTTCTTCTAGAAGCTGTCAGGCAAAGCCTCTTTAGTTTCTCCACAAATCCCTGCCATGGGGTGGGGTTTTTGAGCCCCTTACCCCCACCCCCTCAATCCCAGAATCCACAGTGGAACCCTGGAAAGCTAAGTTGGGAACCAGAGACTTGGTTTAATTTCTCTGTTCTGCCTTTGATCCAACTAGGTCCATAGAAAAGTCACAGAACTTCTCTGAACCTATTTCCTCATCTCCAAAAGGGACTGCCAATCTGCCCTGCTGGCCCCACAACCTTGGTGAGATATGCAAGGGGCCCTGCAAAGGTGGTAGAGCCTACCACCAGGGAGGCTGTGTCACTGGGTGAGGGCTATTTAAGGGGTTGATGTTGACAAGGGCCTCCAACAGGGAGGGGCTGGGTCCATCCTTGGCCAGAGACAGCAGAGCGGGGCCAGGCAGGATGGAATTTGGACCACCTCATCCACAAAGCCTCCTCATACCCTTTTTTCCTAAAGCAACAGAACAAGTCAGGGTTCTGTTTCTTCTACACCTTGTCTTCTTTCCATAAGAAATTATAGTGGCTGAGGTGTGTGCTCCGGAATTGTGTACTACCTGGGTTCAAACCTTGGCTCTACCAGTGGAGTAGTGTGGTCTGGGGCTAACAGTAGTAACCACCTCAGAGGGTTTGGAGGAGGAGGATTAAGGAGATAATACACATTGAGTCCTTGGCATGTGGTTTACACTCAACAATAGTCCCCACTGTCAGACTTCCTCCTACTGGGGGGAGAGTCCGTGGGTGGAGGACAAAGGTTGCAGTGGAGCTTCCTTCTCCTTCTTAGCTTCTTCCTCTTAAAGGAAGCCTGCTCTAAGCACTCCTGTACTCTCTGAGCTCGAATGATTCATGACTATAGAGCCAGAAGTAACTTTTAGGAGGTTGTGTAGTACAAACACTGCATCCTAACAAGGGAAAGTGGAGCCCAGAAAAGGCAAGTGGCCTTGCCCAGAGTCACACAACTAGCTGCTGTGTCTTTTAGTCCAGAGTCCACTGTTATATGTAATTTTCTAGAAAATTTGAGTGTTCCTAACTATAGCACGCTTCAAGTTTTGTATTACTTCCTTGCCCACTTACTTATCTTTTGGTTTTGTCTCTGTTGGAGCAGAACCTATAATTCTGCATGCCCCATAGCATCAGGGGCAGAGTTGGGCATATAAAAAATACTCAAGTATTTGTTGCTGGCAGAAAGCCCTGGGGTTGCTCTGATTTTCCTGTACAGCTAGGAGTTGGGGCAAATGTCCTTCTTCCACTTTTAACTGGCTTGAAACTTTGAAGTAGCCAAGGCCCATGGATAGAGCAGGCCTTTCAACTTCAGCCACTGTGTAGAAGACACAGAAAAAGAGAGACTTGAGCAGCCAGCAAACGGCACCTTTGGGGGATACATGCAGACAAGACCAAGCTCCCTGTACCTGGCCACCCGGACACCCACTGTGGGTGCTTTCCCAGGACTGGAGGGGATCCAGCTTTCTGGCCAGTCACATCTTCACTCCAGGCCCGAGGTCCCCGGTGGGAAGCAAGTAGGATGAGTGACCTTCCATCATGCATACATACCCACCTGCCACTGGAAGGTGGCCCCAATCTGCAGCGCACCTGAGAAGCAGGAGGTGGTGGTGCACAGAGGAGTAGAATGAAGCAGGGGTGGCAGCCCTCACCCGATCAGCACTGGCCAAGGGTCAGACAGGGCTCCCCAGCTAGGACAGCAGCACCAGAAATAGTGCCTAGGAGACCCGGGCCCAGTTCAGTTCAATGCCCCCCACATCCCAATCACCACCCCTCCTCCATGGAAACAAACAGAGGAGCCTGGCGAGGGGCATGTCATCATTTTAATGATGTAGATCTTTGGTGTTTCCCTCATCAGCAGTAGACTATCCCCTCTCCTCCCACCACAATGTTTCTATGATGAGTTACAAACAGAAAGGAAATCACATTTTCATACTAAAAACGAAATGATCAGAGCCTTGATTTCTCCACTAGAAACTACACATACAGTTCAAGATTCCACATGCAACACCTTAAATCACAGACCAAGACCTCACATTCTGACCTGGAGTCTCATCCCCTCCCCGGCCTTGGGCTAGCTTTGGCCTAGGCTCAGGTAATACTGACACCCACAGGTGCTGCTGAGGGCCTTGGAGGGGAGGGAGGAGCTTGGTGGACAAGCCCTGGGGGCGGGCCAGCCTACACCCCCCACTCCTGAGTGAGGACCTGCCCACCGCCCCTTGACCCCATCCTGTATCAGGCAAGCAGGCTGCCCCCTTCACCTCACAGTTGTCCCCCATCAGTAAATATGCAGGAAGTCTCTATCCTCAGGAATCTGGGAGCCTGGCCTGACCCTGGCTGTGGTTTCTGTGGGGTAAGATGACGTAGAGAGGCTGAAGCTCTGGAAGGCTCAGAGTTGGAGATGGTTTCTGGGGGCCAGACCGCTCCTCCTGTTTTGGGCTCCTGGTGGCTCTGCCCACCCAACAGGTGGACAGAGAAAAGCTGCCCCATTGGCCTCTGTGCAGGATGGCTTGCCCAGATCTGGAAGACTGACTGTTCACTCTTCTGGGGCTCTCTGTGGAGGACTGAGTCCCTTGAGCCCATGTTCCTAGGAGAAAGGCGGGGTTCATGGCAGAGATACCCACTTGCTTCTCCATTCACATTAAGCCCAGCAGTATGGCTCTCCTGGGCTCCAGATCCTGGAAGGTTCTAGTCCCCTGAGGCAAGCCTTGCCCATTCGACTGCCTCATGCCCACTGACTCTGACTCCTCTCGACCCCCACCCTCTTACTCCTCCTGTTCCCTGAAGCAGCCAGCAGCTCTTCCATGTGTCCAGTTCCCAGTCAGCTGTGAGGTCCGGTTTCTGCTCAGCGGTTCGAGGGGAGGCACCAGTGCACACATTCGTCTCTACCTGTTCCGTGGCTCCCCACTGGGGCCTGCAGCTTCCCCCCTGCCGCTGCCACTGCCATCAGGAAGGTGGTTGTTATTGGTCAGGCTGCAGTGCAGGGTTGGTCCCTCAGTGCTGGGAAGGGGGACAGGAATAGGGGAAGGGGAGGAAGAGGGCAGGGTTGGCTGGGGTGGCTCCCGCCCAGGGGTACCAGGCTGGTCCCAGGAGGCTGTCCGTGGGCTTAGGCCTCGCTCTGCCAGCTGCCCAGGTTCCGGGAGCAGTCCCCGAGAAGTGGAGGGCTGGGGTGAGGAGGTGCGGGTGGCACCCGGCTCGGTGCCAGTCTGGGAGCTGCGATGAATGCGGTGGCTGACGATGATGTTGTTGCCGAAGCCCCCCATGGAGGCCATGGTGGTGCTCTGCTCCCGCTGCACCACGGCCGTCATGCCCCCCTCCGCCATCAGCCTCTGGATCCTGCTGAGGGCATCTTCCCCACCAGCACCGTACTCTGAGCCCTCACCTGGAAGGTACAAAGCAGAAGAGAGAGGGAATTAGCTGCTGGCCTGGGCCTCTCAGTCAGGCAGGCAGCCACTAGGAAGAGCTGGGAGATTCTAGACTAAAAGCAGGAATAAGAGGAGACCCAACTCTGTTATTGTGAAAACCAGTCAGTCTTGAAAACTACACAAAACTCCCAAGATGATCATAAGTCAAAGTGTTACTGGTGGGGAAACTGAGGCCTAGGATGGCGTACAGTGACTAAGGCTACTCGGAAGGGAAGTGGTCAGCTTTAATTAACCCTTTTGGCGACAGTGGCAGGCTAGTCTGAAAGAAGGCTGAGAAGGTGGGTCCGGACAGATTGCTCCACCTGTCCCCTGCCTGTCCTCTCCCTGTCTCGGCAGCTCAGTAGACCTAAAGCTGGGGTGGGGTCTGCTGCCTGGTCTTTGGAAAGAGAGAGGGCGCCCTATGGTTGTGGCTCAGAGGCAAACATTTCAACGCTGTCTTCCCTCACTGTTGTGCTCTTTGTTACTTCCTACAAGCCCAGGAGGAAGCTTGAGTTTTTAACTGTTCCCTAGAAGAACTGTTTCCTTCTCACTTCTCTCTTTACCCACCAGTCTTCACGAGTTATTGTACTTGCAGCTCTAGGGAGGGAGAGAGGGCTCTGGGCACTCCCTTGTGTGGGAACAGACAAGGCAGGCTCAAATCTCAGCTCTGCCACCCACTAGCTGGCTTCCCTTGAACAAGTCCCTTAACATCCACCTTGCAAAGTGCTGGGCAGAGGAAATGAGATAATGCACACCCCAGGCCCTTGGTCAGCAGTGGCTGTTGTGATTAATTTGGGTTCTGCAGCGATGGAGCTCTGTCCTGAGGGACTCCCCTCCCGCCTGCCACTCAGCGCTCTGCGGGGAGAGAACCAGGCCAACCTGGTGGGCAGCTGTGAGCACGGCTCCTGGGCTGCCAGCGTGGGCCCCACTGAACTACTGATTTGTTTCCTTTGGCTACTTGCTGGCCAGTTTGGGATTTTGCAGTTTTGGGGTTATAATGTTGAGTTTTCTTTCTTTTGGGGGTACTTGTTGCCACCAGCTATTTTTATAAGACTTTCTTTGCTCCCCCAACCTCCTCCAGTCCCTTCTCTCTGCTTGCCTCCTTAGAGCTGGATTTCCAGGCCAGTGTCACAGCTTAGCAATGTCTAAGGCCTCCCTGGATCTCTCCCCCTTCTCGTTAGTGCTTGGCAGCCTCATGCTACTAGTTCCTTCTCCAGGTCTTCAACAGGTTTCCTCAGGACTAAGCAGTGGAGGCACCAGCTGGGCTTTAGCTTATGCCCAGCCTTCTTTCCTTGAGGTCCCCTGGTAAACTCTGCCCACACCCCTCAAGGCAGCTGCCCTTACCCACCTCTTCCTGGGAAGCTTGGCTCCAGCTCCTAGGGCAGAAGGAAAGAAAACCTGAAGGGCTTTCAGAGTACTGGGCCAACCCTGAATTCTCTCAGGGGAAAAGCCTTCTAACAGTGGGACAGAGGCTGTGAAGAAAAGTCAACCTAGGGCCTGGGTGCCAACACAGCTTCTACCCTGGGAGCCAAAGGGCTGCCTGGGGAGGCCCCACGGGGCCCTCCCTGTGCTCACTGCAGCCTCCACTCTTTCTAAGAACACTGTGCACTGGAGACCTCCCAGCCTGCTGGCACTGGAGCTCACTGTGTTGGGCTCTGTGCCTGGCGAACTATCAGCTCTTTTCAAGTAGATGGTTTGTAGGGGCAGGACAGACTGCCTTGGGGCCCTAAGGGAGCTGCTGCAGCCAAGCCCCCAGAGAGCCCCGAGGGGCCTTCCCGGGCCAGGAGGAGGCCTGACCACTAGCACTCAGGTCAGAGCCCTCCTGTCCTCTCCCACGGCTTGCGTTGGCCCTGGCCACTCCTCATGATGACTGTGGCTGTGTATGCTCACTGCTCTTTTTGCTTCCTGTCTCCTCTCTTTCCATGCAGTCTCCATGCTGCCGCGATTACCACTCTGAGGAAGCTCTGATTAACTGAGCTCTCGCTAAGTCTACACCTCTTCAAAACCCCGCAGCTCTGAGACCCTCAAAGTCATCAACTCCTTTGCTTAACATCTGAGGGCCCTCTGGCCAGGCCCTCACCACTTTCCTGACCCTCCTACCCTGCCCCCCCCTTCACGCACCAATAGCCCTTCCTAACACAGACTCGGCCGTGCACCCTGCTTGCACATACAGACATGCTGTGCGTGCTCTCTGCTGTGCTCTGGCCGCATCTCCTCATGTCCCACATCTACTGAGTTTCGAGAGCCAGTGCAAATGCCATCTCTTTCATCCAGTCTTCCCTGCGCCCCAGCTGGAAGGCTGCTCCTTCTCTGAGGCCTCCTGGTGCTCTACCTCTGATGGTTGCAACATCTCTCTTCCAGGCTGCAAGCTCCTGAAGGTCTTGGACTCAGCCTTATTCCTGTGAGTCCAGCGTCTAACACGTGTTCTTGCACTCGGCGCGTATTTGTCTAATATATGTATGGAGGAATAAAGGGTCTTCCAGGATGCTTACAGGGGCTCCAGACTTAAGGAGACTTTGAAAGCTGATCACATGTTATCCTTTCCTACAGGAGAAGTATTCATATGTCTAGTTCCTTCCTGGACATGTTCTTTGAGGGAAGAGACATGATGGCTTCATCTCTCAATGTAATTCCCTCTGCAATACCTTTGAATTCATGGTGCCTAATATAATACCAGACAGAAAGTAAGTGCTCAAAAAAGAATGAATGGAAGATTTAAAAATGTACACACAAATGGTTTCCCCAGGGCTGGGTGTGGATAGTTTCAGCCTACAGAGTTATGAGCTGTGCTTCCCTCCTGGGAACTCTAAGCCAAGGCTAAGAGCTACTGAGGGCAGCTGGCACATTCTTCCAGGGGAAAAACACTGGGGCCTCAAGGCAATGGCAGCCGTGTGCCCCATGATCCAGAAACAGTGGTGGCTACAGGAGCTACTTCTGCTGTCTCCTTCCCTGTAGCAAAAGCATTTCTTTTTGTCTTTGAAAAACGGGAAATTGATTTAGTGTTGCCATGAGATCTTTTCCTTGGCAAGTTCTAAGGTACAATCAGGGTACAGGCGCTAGGGTAGGATCAGCAAATTCCCCTTATACCCTGCAACCGCATTGAATTCTGGGGGCTTCACTGCCCAGAAGAGCAGAAGAGGAACGACAATTCGGAGTCAAAGGAGGAACTGCTCTTCCTGACCCTCCCTGTTCACATCTGCTTTTTCCTGGCCCAGGGCCCAGGCTGCTGCAGCTGGTCTAACCACCGTCTTCATCAGACAAGGCAGAGCCATGGTGCTCTCCAAACAGTGCAGCACAGAGGCAAACAGTGCGGCCCTCAGAGGCAGGGCCTTGCCTCAGCTCAATTCATTCCACATACTTCCTGAATGCCTGCTGTAAGCCAAGCAGGCAGGTACTGGTGCTGGGAGCAAACTGGCAGCCCAGGGAAGGCTTCCTTCCCTTTCTGAGCTACCCTCTTGGCCAGCAGGGCAGGAAAGCTTGCTGCAGGGTCAAGTGTAAGTTCAGGAGGAGATCAAACTTTTTTGTTAAAGCTGGATGTGCAAAAAAGCTGACACCTGTAAATTCCCCCTGTGAAGGACTCTTCCTGAAAGTCCTGGAAAGAGTTGAATGAATTTTCTAAAATTTTTTTATAGAGCAAGAAAGTGAGAAGTAGCCTGGGAACCCTTTGGTGCTAGCTGATGGGATGGCACAGGTCACCGAGCAGTGATTACTACAAGTAGGGTAGTTTCCAACATTAATAAATCTGGGAAGTGGGCATGTGGGCAGGGGGATCCCCCCTCTAGCCAAGCCCAGAAGAAGAGTTAACCTCCTTGACCAGGGTTTTGCTACCCATGTTCTTGCCGATCTGGCTACCAGTTGGGTCAATACAGAGAGGAGGCTGTGCCTGCCTCTGAATGGGGAAGTTTGGGCCCAAAGAGAACCCTGATCCCTGGTCTCCTCTGTGAGGACTCCGATAGAGTAGTGGGGTGAGCACTTCAGAACAAGGCTCCTGGCCATAGGAAGGACAGGGCTAGGCAGTGACACCCATCCATACCCCTCCGACCCACACCTCCCCTCCCCTGACTGCTTTCTGAAAGGGGTGTGATGCATGGAAGGGCTGGGAGCCAGAGCCCTTGGCAAAGTGCACAGGGCCACAGGCAAAAGCAGCAGGCTGTCCGATCCTCTCTGTCCACCGCTCCTGACTAGTGCCTCAGCTCGGAAGGCCTTACCCTCCACCACTTGCTCTACTTTCCAGGAGGGAGGTCCTGGCCCCTTGAAACTGGGAAAGAAAGCTCCCTCCCCCCACCCACCCTCTGCCCTCACCCCCAAACAGGAAGAAAAGAACTTAAAATTGACTGGAGGCCAGAAATGGGCCAGATGCTAATGGAGAAAACAGCAGAGAATTCTTTGGGGGGATGAAACACCAGAGGGCACACTCCTCAAGTTGGCAGCCCCTGCACTTCACCTTCAGGCCGCAGGCCTCGATCCCAGTCCAGCCCCAGTAATCTGCCCTCCCCACTCATTCAGCCTGTTTTCAGCATGCACTGGATATCCACGAACACAAACCTGCTAGTGGTTCTCTCTGCGTAGTGAGACGTTTTTGAACTTGGTGCCCTTGCATGTGCTGTCTCTCCTCTCCAGGAAGGCCTCCCCGCCACCCAATTTTGCCTAATTTCTCCTCATCCTTGAAGACTCAGCCCAGGGCCACCTCCTCCAGAAGTCTTCCTTGAGCCCCGCAGACTGGGCATGGTCCCCCTCCTTTATGCCCCCAAGGTCCTCATCACACTAAAGCAATTATCAGCTTAGGTGTCTGTCTGCCTCTCTAGGCCGTGAGCTCCTTGGGGAGCATGGGAGGCTTATTTGTCTTCACAGCCCAAGTGGCTGACACTTGGTAGATGGCCATGAAATCGAATCAGAGCCTAAGACTACAGAATACCTCTCCAAATTCCTCATGGGCAGCCCTCATGCTATCTGGGTTAATCGGGGACTCTCAGAGGCTGCTTATCTATGGGGAGACAGGGTTGGCATGCTGGCTCCACTGGAGAAGCCAGTGGTGTTTCCCTGTTGCCTGGCTCTCAGGCTTCCTGGAATAGGCGTAGTAGACTCCAGGGTGGCTCAGAGTCCACAGAAACCTGTAAAAACAGGCCTGGAGATGGTGGAAGGAGCCTTCAGCTACCTCTTCCTCAAGGTTCAAAGCTGCAACTGGCTGCTCTGCCCAGCACTGCCAGCTGCTCATGTCCCCACCAAAGGGGCTTCTATCCAAAACGGGAGCCTCAGATGTAGGAGGTGGGCTGGGCCATGGACCAAAAAGGGACTTAACTTTGAGAAATTTCAGTTTATGGCAGTGAGAGGGACAGTGCCCTGTGGGGCACTGAAGTGTGGAAAGCTGTTCCTGGGGGTAACATGGGCAAATGTGTGACTCTTTGCCTGACGTGCACCATGGGTTCTCCTCCTACAGTCTCTTTTGAGCAATAGCTCAACACAGACCTAGAAAATGTGTGTCTGTTTGGAGCTGCCTTGTTCAGTGCTAGGCCCAGCAAGGGGGCTGGGGGTAGGGAGTGAGGAGAGTGATGGAGTGAGAACAGCCTGTTTAACACAGCTGCTGACGGACTCCTAAGTGGCTCAAGCTCTACCGCTGGGAAGTGCTAATTGGTTCTTAAAAGTGTGAGGCTGGCATGGAGAGCCAGGGCTGAGGCCGGCTGAGCCACACCTGAAATAGGTGAGAGGAAGGGGCTGGTTTTGTGCCAGGCTGCAGCCAAATTGATAACGAACACTTGGTGCGAGAGAAGCATGGGAGGGTCTCACCTGTGCCAGTCCCAGACCTGCCATGTGGGCAGAGGGAAGACAACCTGTGGGTTGGCCCTAGAAGCCTGAGGCCTGGGGTGCACTTCTCTCGAATGAGAGCTTGCAGCAGTCTCTCTTGTAGCCCTTTCAATCCAGGCTACTTTCTGTGTTCTCTCTTTGGAAAAACAGCCTGGGTCCTCCAAGTTTTAGAGGAGAGGGAGGTGGGGATACTTGGTGGGAGCTGAGCAAGGCTACAAGAGCAGCTCAGTTTACAGGAAAGTGATCCAGCTCAGGGAAATTATGTTCCTGCCTGAGAAGGCTCTTAATGTCACCAGGTGGGCATTGCCCAGACACACAAGGCAGTACTCACCCGGGCTGAGAAGTGGCACTCGCGCAGCACTAGCTGTCGATGCAGGGGGCCGTGAGCTACCTTAGGCTACCTCTCCCAGGGAGGGCCCACCCCTGGTCAGACCTCCCTCTGGTACTGCATGGCTCTCACCTTCACCAGGACCCGAGGCTGCCGTCCCTGGCTCCTGCAGCTCCCTTTCGGTCTGTGTTTCGGCATTCTGCAGCTGCAGGGCCAGAGTCTGGGTGCCCTGAGATGTCACTGAGGTGGTGGGGTTCCGGGGCTGCAACCCAATTGCATTCATCAGACCCATATCTCTGTCTGTCCTCCACGTGGCTCTGCTGGTTCTAGGGAGAGAAAGGCAGGCTGAAGTCAGGCAGGGATTGGGACAGCGCCCCTCACAGAGCTCTGTGGGCTCCATGTCAATCCTCAGGGCATAGCGTGGGCTAAGAGGAGAAGCCTGTGCTCCCGCAGCTGCCTCCTGATGGTGGTCAACTCGTCTGTGTCCATTCTCCTCCAAGATCAGTCCATGCCCTGGGACAAAGAAAGGAGGCCACAAAACCATCCTATCTGGCAACCCAGCTGTTTTCAGTCATTCCCTTAAACAACAGGCCCTTTGCAGGGTTAAGAGTGGAGATGGCTGATCTGAAAAGACTCTCATTTAGATTTAAGATGCCACCAGCTGATCCATGGGACAAAGGGTGAGTAGTGGAGTGAGTCCATGCCTTCCTTCTAACTGTATGATCTCAAGATTCCAGTTTAAATCTTGGAATTTCCAAGTGGACTGAGATCTCTGCTTTGGAGGGAAAGGACTGGAATTCCCATGAGGCTGTTCTAGGATCCTCCTTTCAGGGCCTTCTGAAAACAGCCTCTTGCAGGTAGGGAGCACAAGCTGCCCTAAAAGGCCAGCACCTCCCTCTCCTTGGGCATTTCCCAGACTTGACCCTTGGGGGTGGCTGGAGCTGGCTGCAGAGGCAGCCCAGGACTTGTTCAATATCAAACGCTCATGTTTCCAGCTGCTCTGGGACTATTCCTCCAGCTGTGCCCAGCAATTCCTATGGGAAGTGGTGACTGCCTTGGGTTTATCATCAACCTAGCACTTTGTTTTTTCAAAACATCTCAGTCTTCATTAGCGAATTCAGTGATAACAGGATCAGTACCAGATTTCTACTCTCCAACTGGCCCCCTACTCTCCCCTGCCCCTGGGCTGCAGCAACGGGGCAACTTGGGCCCTGAGACCCTGGTCATCTGAGAGAGATCCAGCCAGATTCTTCCTGGGCCACAAAGCAGACTTCATGGGGCAGCACCTTTCTCTAGTGCCCTCTCTTCTCTCCTCACCCCAAGTGTGCCCAGACACCATGGCCAGAATGGGAGGGGGTCAGGGGGTGTTCTAAAGCAAGACCCTGAGAGCAGAGGTTTTGTTCTCACTCTTAGCCATGGAACACTTTTCTCAAAGGAAACCATACGCAAAAGTTCAGTACATAAAAGAGATCAAAGATGGGCTGCTCTGGTTGAGAAGGGACCCAGAGTCCTGGAGCACAGTCTGAGGGTGCTACTTGAGTGCCCATCAAAAGCAGAAAGGGAGGTGACTGGGTGACCTATAGTCCCAGCTGCTTGGGAGGATCACTTGAGCCCAGAAGTTCGAGGTTACAGTGTGCTATGATTGTCTCTGTGAATAAATAGCCACTGCACTCCAGCCTGGGCAACACAGCAAGACCCCATCTCAGAAAAATAAATTAATAAATAAAAGCAGGAGGAAGGGACAGGCCCCAGCCAGCTGCTCCTCTCCTACTTCCCACATACCCAGGCCGTTCGCTGCTCCTGCTGTTGGAATGGACAGTGAAGACAGTCTCGTTCAGCTGGTCCCAGTAGTACTCGACACCAGAGTTTAAGGCCCTAAAAATCAGTTGGGAAGGATGGAGAAGAGAAGGTGAAAGGCATTAGAGAAGGAATGACAAGAGCTCCTTACAATTCCTAGGCTTTGTGGACTGTGGCTTGGCAGCCCACCCTTGCTCTCTCCTGGGGCTGGGCTGAGACCCAAATCTGTCTTTAGGGAGTCATGAAGATTCTGGGTATTAGGCGTCACCAGAGGGAATACTTGCTTCTTTGAAGGGAAAGAGACACAGCCAAGCAAAAGTGCTCTTCCTTTCATTTCTCTGTACTACACACCTCCTGGCTCCTTTTAGAGGGCCGTTGGCCTGTGGATTTGGGGTGATCTCCTGTAGACCACCCCTTTAAAAAGTAGTATGGCTGTCCCTTGGCATCACAGGGATTTTAGTTCTAAGACCTCCCACGGTACCAAAATCCACAGATGCTCAAGTCCCTCATATAAAATAGCATACTACTAGCATATAACCTATGCACATCCTCCTGTGTACTTAAAAACATCTCTAGATTACTTATAATACCTAATACAATGTAAATGCTATGTAAATAGTTGTTATACTGTATTTGTATTCTTTTACTATATTTTAAAATTTGTATTATTTTTTTTTTTGCTTTTTTTTGAAACAAGGTCTTATTCTTTTGCCCAGGCTAGAGTGCAGTGGTGTCATCATAGCTCACTGCAACCTCAAACTCCTGGGCTCTAGTGATCCTCCTGCCTCAGCCTCCTGGGTAACTGGGACTACAGGAGCTCGCTACCACGCCCAGCTAATTTTCTTTTTCTTTTTTTCTTTTTGTAGAGATGGGGTCTCACTATGTTGCTCAGGCTGGTCTCAAACTCCTGGCCTCAAGCAATTCCTCCCGCCTTGGCCTCCTAAACTGCTAGAATTATAGGCATGAGCCACTGCACCCTGGTCTATATTGTTATTTTTTACTCTTTCCCCACCCCCCAAATATTTTCAATTTGTGGTTGGCTGAATCCATGGATAGAGTTGTGGATACCAAGGGCCAAATATATCTCCTTTCTCTTCTAACCACTCAGCTGTTTATTGGGGGGAGGTTTGGGAGGTGTCTGAGAACAGCACAAGAAGTGGAGGGAAAAGGTGAGAGAAAACTACCTTACATTAGGGAAGAAGCAAATGGCCAGAAATCAATGGCAGAAGCCTCTAAAAACAAAGTCATCGCTGCATTTTTTGGTGAGCCAATCCTGGCTGTATTAGGCACTATGTGAAGCCAGCTGCCAGGGAGCCTCTGATTACAAACTTGTCAAGATTTATTGACAGGTTGCAATACCATGTAGGTCCCTGCCAATTCCTTCCTCTGTAATTCTTGTTAGCCAGAGCTGGTTAGTGACAACAAACTGTTCACACCAAACCTACAACAAACCATGTACTGCCTGACCTGAAACTTCTTTCCTAACTCAGAAAAGAGGCTGCCAGAAGGCCCACTGTCTGAGCTGGGACTGTCAGCATGGTGCTGGTGGTCAAAGGATCCCTTCAAATACTTTCTACCTGGGCAGCATGCATCATCAGCTCAGAGCCAGAACCTCGGTATTTCAAACAGAACAGGGGCTGTAGTTACTGTCTCAACGTGCTGTTCCACTCTCCCACCCTACCCCAATCCTTTCTGCTCCCCACAAACAGGTCTAGTTCTAAGCCCTGATTTGTTCTACTTTCTGTGGTCAGAGAGCCTGACTACAATGAGCTCATGGATTTGCTTCAAATTACAAGCACTGCACCAAGGAATAGAGTTGAAGACACCCTCTCTGACTACTGCAGCTCTTAGCCTTCAATACCCAATGCCACTGATTCCCGTCTGTAAGCTAAAGAATGATCCCAACCATTCCCTTCCTTCTTGGGTCTTTGTGAGGGTAAATGAGTCACTGTTTGCTCTAGTTTCTCCCTGGGAGCTAGACAAACACATAAAGGGAAGAAGACTAGGAGGGTCGATCAGGGTTGGCCTTTTCAAATGGACTTGCACTTAACACCTGGAAACTGTGCTTCTGGGCTTGGCTCAACAAATTCCTCACTCCTGGGGCCTTCCTGGGCTCCCTGAACATACACCTAAGGGCCAGCGTGCCTCCCTCAGTGGTCACAATGCTCTTTCCACAGAACTTATGGCTCCAAATTTCCCAACTTCTAGGGAATGCTCCGTTTGAGAACATTCTTCTTCCATCTATAAGTTACACGGCTGCAGAGAACTGGATCGCACGGCTGTCTCTCTGGAAAGGACTGTTTCCAAGAAGACTGGTGTTTACCCACTATCTCTGCAACATGGGAAAAAGTCGGCACCTGGCTCTTGTAGCCTCACCTGAAAGATGTAGTCTCTGTGGCAATTCTGGCTCCCCCTTTGACTCAGAGGGGGATGACTCATGGCATCCCCCTCCTTGGGTGGCAATTCTTGCTTATAACTACCATACTCAGTGGTGGCTCCCTCTGAAGGGACAGAATTGTGGCCCTGTCAGGAGCCCCACAAGCTCAGCCTATTTCTCTTCTGCCATGAATCCCTCAGTTCTGTCTTCTGAGTTGACTCTGAGAAGCAGTGGTCTTCCCAGCACGCCCCCCTGAACCCCCCACACATGTAGGGCTGATCCGTGAAGCCGGAAGTGAGTAAGCACCCCTCACATCAATCTGGCACTGCACACCCACTGTGGGTATGGGGGTGCTGGCTGAGGCACGGCACAGCTTGGGGAGAGTGCAGGTGGGGGGAGCAGAGCACAGGAGAAAGGAGCACCTCACTGCAAGGAGGGGTGGGGTGACTGGGCTGCTGGCCCCGTGTGGCTTTGCACAGGGGCTGAGGGCCAGTTGTTTGTCTTCTCACCTGTCCTAAGAATTTCTTCTGGAGAGATGGAGTATTTTCTAAGGCTTTTGTCTACTGTCAAGTGGGGTTTTAGTATCACCAAGAGATGCCCAAGGAGCTTGTTTCCTCTGTCTTTGTGCTTGGAGAGACTGCTGAGGCTTAGACAATGGAGGAGAACTCAAGAGCAGGACAGAGAAAGCAAAAAATGAGGTGCAGCTACCTGTGCTTGGGACAAAGGCAGATAACCACCTGTTTTGGAGGGAGGGCTCTAATCTTGGCCCAGCTGGCTGGCCGGATCCTTTGTGCTTGTGAATGGGTGTGCTGGGGAGCTGTGTCACCCAGGGATAGGCAGCAAGCCTCAGGCAGCAGCCTATGAAAAACACAGCCACCCTGAGCTGCTACTTCCTGTTGGTTCTCCCCATTCGAGGCAGAGACCAATCATAGATGTTCAAAAAACATAAACGTGTTCACTTATCTTCTCTCATTTTCCACTCCATCAATCACCTGACCCTCTTAAATATCTAAACATAATCCAGAACTGCATTCTTTACCTGAGGTCTTAAAGAGTCATAAAATTATGTGTGCTTTATAATTTTATGTGGAAGTGAGTACATTGCTTTCATCAGAATTTTAAAGAGGTTTTTGAAGAAAATAACAGTTAAGAACCAGCCATAGGAAAGAGATCTAGACTGGAAAGTTAGAAAGTCTAGTTCTGTCACTGGTTTGCTGGGAAGCCTTGAGTGAGTCTTAACTTCTGCACCTGTAAATTGTTCATAGTTTTCCTTGCCTTAAAGCTGTACAGATATGAAGGTGACTCAGAACTGGAGAAGTTTTGAAGAACTTGGGACAAAGTTATGTCCACATCAAATTTATATGGTACCCTTAAATTTCCAGCGCTAAGGCTTGAGGTATTTGCCAACCTACCCCAGGAGAAACCGCAACACCAAAAAAAGATGGGCTAAATCAGTTTGCTTTCAGTCAGTACAACTTGGTCTTTGATGGGACACTGTTTGATGTGTCTAATGCTAGTGCCATTTTAGGGAAGAGGCTTGAGTTTCTGGAGGGTAAGAGAGTTGCCCAGGCAGCCCAAGATGGCTTAGGCATACAGAGACTCTGGGATGCTGAAGATGCCATATGGGGGAAAAGAGAAAACAGAGGCCAAGCCAGCTTCATTTCTGGCTGAGGTGACTATGACTCACACCAAGTATGTAGGTTGGGGTTTCAGACATAAAATCCTTTGTGGGGCCACAACAAACTGAGTGTAGAGATTCTGCCTCTGTAAGAGCAGATCACTTTTGCAAGGGAGGGGCCTGGGGGTTTGGTTGAAGACAAAGGTTAGTGTGGGAGCCACAGATAAAACAACACTGCTGAGGAAGAAAGTCTCAGAGAAACAGGGAAAGAAAGACCTGTAACTATAGTGTTGGTCAGAATAAAAGTATGGTCCAGAATTCTGTGCTAGTTTTGGGAAAGATGCCTGCTATAGGTTATTAAGTATGAAATGTGCCACTTCCTTAAGTACTAAGTTTGATAGTTGATATCTCCGACATGTCACTTTGACACTTCTTGTGTTATTTTTATTGGGACGGTACATCCTCAGTCTTTCAAATGCACATTTTGGCTTATGATTATTTTTCAAATATTTTTTTTAGAGCAATTTTTGTGAAACCACGGATAAGTCAAAAATTTGTGTTATTTTCCAATATGAATTCCATTGTGGAACCCGTGCAGCACAAATAGCTTGAAATATCAGTGAAGTGTTTGGGAAGGATGTGGCTAATGAATGCACAGTACGGCGATGGTTTGAGAAGTTCCATTCTGGTGATTTTAACCTTGAAAATGAGCCACGTGGTTGACCTGAGACCAAGGTGGATAATGATGAGCTGAAAACTGTGGTGGAAGCAAATCCATCTCAACCTACGTGTGAATTACGAGCAAGATTTGACATTACTATTCCAACAATATTGGACCATATGAAACAAATCAGCAAGGTAAAGAAGCTGTATTGATGGGTTCTGCATGAATTAAATGAGTGTCAGAAGAGATTGTCTCAAAGCTTGCCTTTCTTTGTTGTTATGACATACAGGCGAACCATTTCTACAGTGTATTGTTACATGTGATGAAAAATGGATTCTTTTTGACAACTGCAAGCATTCAGCACAATGGCTGGATAAAGATGAAGGGCTGAAACACAGTCCAAAACCGAACATTCATCAAAACAAGCTAGTGGTGTCTGTTTGGTGGTCCAGCACTGGTATTATTCACTACTGCTTCATGAAACCTGGTCAGCTGATTACAGCAATGTCTACTGCAGCCAAATGGAGGAAATGATGAGGACGCTTGCAATTAAGCAGCCGAGAATGGGCAACAGAGACAGGCCAATCCTCTTGGAAGACGATGCTTGACCACAAATCACACAAACAACACTGCTCAAACTACAGAGGCTGGACTTGGAAACCCTGTCATCCATCCAGCGTATTCACCAGACCTTGCACCCACTGACTACCACTGCTTCCAGACTTTGTACCACTTCTTGCAAGGAAAAATAATTCAATTCTCAAGAAGCCGTGGAAAAAGCCTCTTGTGATTTCATCGCCACTCTCTCCAGGCTTCTTCGCTGCTGGCATAAACAAGCTACCATTAAGATGGCAAAACTGTGTGGATAGTTTAAGTGAATACTTTGGTTAATTGTACTGCTTTTTGTTTGAGATATAATAAATGACACTTTTGATTCAAAATCAGACACTTCATATTTAATGACCTAATAGATTCCTCTTGTGAATTCCTAAGAGGAAAAGACAAGACAGTTAGCCTCATGTGCTTAAAGGAAAAGAAATATTTCAGGACAGATCCTGGGACTATGGACATGCAGCGGAAAGGCAGAAACCCAGTGCCTGGGCTAACAGTGGAAGAGTAGTGAAAGAAGCAAGCTGTGTTCTGAAAGGCACAAGGAGATGGTAAAAGATATTCTCTGCACACTCTGAAGAGAGTGAAAGATGCTCTCTGGAGCAAGTAGCTGGAAATCAAAGCAACCAGCTCCAAGAGCAGCCCATCTAGATCAGGCTTAGACAGTAGCCTCTCTTTGGGAGGGGCTCTAAAAATTGACAATGGAATGCAAAAGCTGCCCTTAGAACCAGGTTTTCTTCTTCCTGAGCCACTGACCTAACTCTGTTGACAAGGGCTCAATCACCAGTCCCCCATCAGGCCACATAAACTGACCCAAATACATACTCTAGGAGAAAACACCAGGGGCCCCATCCACAGGCAACACGAACACTGCCAATAGCCACGGGCTCTACCAGACCTCTCACACTACTCTCTGTGAACACTCTTGGAGAAGACTCTGCACTGAGTGCAGGACAGCATTAGGACAGCCTGGAGGCAGAAGTGGCATTTAGTCGGCTGGAACCCTGCAGCGTCCTACGCAGCAGTCAGCCTGATCTGCAATGAAGCACAGAGCTTCACACTCCCCACCTGGCTGGGTCTGGAAAACTGATGACAAACCTGGCTGCCTCCCAGGGTCCTGAGTGAATCTACCCTGATGCCTGGGTAGACCTCTGTCCTCCAAAAAGCCACTGGAAGGGAGGGTCCTTAGGACACAAGACAGGAGAAATGTTTTGTGTCCTTTTGCCCTCCTAATCCCAACTTCAAGATCAGATAATAATCACTTTGATTTTAAATTTCGCTTTTCAATCTGCTTTCATTATGAGCTAGAGCTTCAAGCAGAAAGGAAAATAGGCAGGACACAGAGACAGGCTGTCTGTAGAGAGCAGTAGCTTGACAAATTAGGGTTTTAACAATACTCTATTTCCAATTTTATTTCTTAAATTAATGTCTATGGCATTTACACAAACCCAAGACCACCTGTTGAATTTTTCAAAAAGGATTTTAAAAAAGTATCTTTGACATCTACACTTTTGCCTGCAGGGAGACTTTAGTATCACTAAGACACCAGCGAAGGAAGGAAAACAAAGAAAAAAAACACTGCCTTAGATTCAAGAAGAGAACCACTAAACCAGTCTTTTGGTGATACCTAGAATGGGGGGCTAACCCTACCAGCCACTGCAGGAAGAGGGCCCTTTAAGGAGTGGCACTGAGAATGAGACAGGCTCTAGCAGGATTTAAATTTCCCATCTAAAAGACCCCACACCTGGCTGGCCAGGTCTATTGGTGAATGCTGATTACTCCAGTCCTCTGCCCAGATGACCCCTCACCTCCCACACCTTGAGCCACTTACTCTGGTCGGCAGATCACCAGGTCTCCTTTGTTGGTACCATAGGCAAGGCCGAGCCCTGGCTCAGGCAGCCAACGGGCAGAGTTGATGCTGACATGTCTCCGCTGGTCAGCAGGCATAGGGTAAAGGACGTTGAAAACTCTCTAGATGGAGGAGAAAGAGGGAAGAAAAGAGAATGAGAGGAGAAACAGTTTTGTTATCAAGAATAATAAATACCAGGGAGAAACAAATTAACCACAGGGGGGAAAGGAGGTGGAATGACTATTTTTTTTTTTTTTTCCTGAGACAGAGTCTTGCTCTGTCTCCTTGGGTAGAGTGCAGTAGCATCATTGTAGCTCACAGCAACCACAAACTCCTAGGCTCAAGCAATCCTCCTGCCTTAGCCTCCCGAGCAGCTGGGACTACAGGCACCTGCCACGATGTGTGGCTAATTTTTCTATTTTTTTTTTTAGTAGAGATGGTGTCTTGCTCTTGCTCAGGCTGGTCTCAAACTCCTGACCTCAAGCAATCCTCCCACCTCAGGCTTCCAAAGTACTAGGATTATAGGTGCGAGCCACCTCACCTAGCCTCGGAAAGACTCTTAACTCAGGTTTGAGAACTTGAGGTAGCAGGAGAGGGGGACCCTCTTATTTTTGGTGAGAGCTAGGTCTCTTTCAAGAAATACTAGGGAACATACTTGATGTGCTCTCTTTTGAGCCTTTTAGCACGTCTAAGTTCATTGCTTTTAAGTTAACTCCCTGGAAAGCCCCATAGAGCCTACCAGACCGGGAGGACTGCCCATAACTTTTCTCTGACCAGACCAACCAGTGAGAGTCAACCCTGGCTGGTAGTCCCGTTACTATGGGAATCACTGTGCTCTCACAGCAATGGGGAATTAGAGGTGATAGGGGGGCGGAGGGGGTGATAACATCAGAGAACATTCTTAATTCATCTAATTAAAAGCAATGTTAAAACTGCTATTGTTAAGGAAACCTAAAAGGTGCATTAAGATGGAAAGAGCAGGGTAGAGGGGAATCTTGAACACTGAGGTACATGATTTCTTTCTAGCTCATATAAATACCACCATTAAATAGGTCAGTTCCCTTTCTCAAAGAGAAAGATTCTCAAAACAAAGAAAAAAAAAAACAAAATAAAAGACAAAGAAAAAAAACAACAAAAAGAAAGCTTCTCCTTTCAATAGTGTATATCTTCCCAAGCTAATAATTTCTGAGGGACAGCTTAGCTATGTCTAGAGTTTGGGTTGAAGGTAAAAGATGGCCTCATAGTCTCTGTGGCCACTGACTTACAAGGTGTTTTAGAAGCAACATTGGTCAGAGATAGGGCCAGGCCAGTGGAAAAATGAAAGACTTGGGTTTCAGTCCTAATGCCACTGTATAACAACGTCTCTAGATCTTGGCTCAGAAAGACTACATACATTCAAGTAATTTGGGAAATTAAAACAGATGATGTATACGAAATGCCTGCTATGGCACAAGCTCAAAAATGGTAATTGCTATTGTTACCAAGAACCTGCATCTGGGGCTTCAAAAAAGGTCATTAGGGCCTATGAAAAGGACATGAAGGTGAGAATCTATAAAGTGGAGTTTATTTCCCTTCTAAGCTTCCCCCGCTTTTAATCTATAAAATATGGATGAACTTCATGTGCCTTTACCTGCCCCTAGGGTTGATGGGAGGGAAAAGAAAAGAGAAAACAAATGAGAGTGTGATTCAGAAAGTATTGTTCATAAAATAAATTTAGGGTGGTAAAATAATAATTATTTTTGATTATCCAGATGATGAGAGAGGGAGAGAGAGAGAGAGAGAAGAAAGAGAAGAAGGAGGGGGGGGAACCCAAAACAAAGAATTGAGCTTGAGGTAAGAGTCCATGCTATTTATGCAACCCAAGTGATAAGAGCCCCAGATTTGAAATCATGTGTTCATGTGCCATGGGTACCTATCTGAAAGGCCTTTACCTGGACAGCCTCTAGAATGGAGAAGACAGCAGCATGTGTGCTTAATATTGTGAAACACACAGAGAATCCTGTTTCCAGGTGTTGTGATGCCTGGGTAGCTATTGGCACCCTTTCAGAATGGCCTTGCCACAGTCCCAAGGTTTTTACAGACACAGAATTGGCACAGGTTTGAGGCACAGGACTGTTTTCCCTGTGGCCACTGCAAAAAGAAGCTCCTGTGACCTCCTGTAGGACTCAAGCCTAAATGTTCAGGAATTAGCTAGGGCTCCTTAAATTCTAAATAAAAGAGAGCCCAATGAAATTAATACATTTCTATCACAGTCATCTAGAACATGGCTGCTTGACCTCTGGATCATCTCCTCCTTGCATATATATAGTTGGCAGGAGCCCAGAACGAATTCATGGCTACTACTCTCCACTCAACCTCTCTGGCTGACCATCTATGGAGATGGCACTACCACTCTTTCCTTTGTACCTAATCAACACTTTTCCTTTAAATCAAGGTATGAGGTGTGGTGCCTTTACTCTTTCTCAAAGAGGCTTTCACCTTTCCAGAAGATAACCAATGGTTTCGGTCCAACCTATAGGCTATATGGTTAAATACAACTTGGCATTTAACTTTTAACATTGAAAGGACAATGTGGTTGTAGCTGGGCTCACTTAATCTGTTTAATTTTCCTTCTCCCAAAGGTCAGATGGTGCAACTAGGGTACACCCACAGTTAAGGAGGGATGAGTGTTAATTTCAGTGTGTGGGATGAGGGGAGCCTTGGTTTGCGGCCTGTGGCAGCTCTATATGGGCCTCACAACTGAGTCTCCCCTAAAATCACAATGCTTTATAATTGTAGAGAATGGTGCCAAAGGGCCAGCTAGAAAATTGCCATGCAAGGAGGAGGAGAATAAGGTTTTAGGAATCAGATGGTTAAGGGTTGTGCTGAGTTTTTTGATGGGAGTCTCAAAGAAGAGAATAAAAGAACTCTTTTCCAGAAATGTTACAAGACCAGGAAAGAAGCAAACAAGCCTCTCAAATATCACAAATTTACCTTTTATTGTCTGTTGTTGCAGAGGGATTAATAAGCAAATACTATCAATTTGCTTCTTAGTACAGGTAATTGCTTTGGGGACATAACCTTCAAGAGGCCTATATGACAGATATACACAGCTTAGAAGAGACAAGGTCACAGAGGGATTGGAAAAAGTAATTAAAGGTTGAGATCCCCAAACCCTGATGATCTCACTAGCCACTTCACAACTCCCGTGGCTACAGGAGTCACGGGGGCATCAATCTGTCTTCTGGCTACAGTACCCCTCTCACGCTCAAGTCCTTCAACAGTGCTGAAAGGGCAGCTCTCAAGTGCCCAGCTCCTCCAGTGTTTGGGTATTAGGCTAAATCCCGTTTTGTGGCAGGAAACCAGAAAATGCCACGTGAAGATCAGCAGCTTCCAGGATCCCTGATAAGCACTTGCCTGCATATCACACTCTAATGTGGGAGCAGGGGAGGGATGAGAGCACAGAGGATGCAGAATGGGTAGAAATCACTGATTCGTAGATCCTGAGAGGTCATCTGGTCCAATTCTCTTCGTTTCACAAATGCCTGAATCTAAAGGACACTTGACCAATGAGAATCTGGCCCAGTGTGAAAAGCACCCAGAGATGTAGTTTCCGCTCCTTCCCCAAGCCAAAGTTGAATAGCTCTCAATACACTTCACAGAGGGGAAACACCTCTCATAATTAGCCATAAAGATGAGAGACTATCTGGGCAACAAGTTTTCCAATATTGACAGATGGTTAGGTAGCTCTGGCTACTTGAAACCACTTATGGTTTTAGCCATTAGTCTTTCCAACCCAGAGACTGGGTGAGCTGTGAGTCTCCTTCCAGATTTTGATGGGGACTGTCTCTGTATACCCAAAGTTTATCAGTACTGACAAGAAAGAAGAACCAAGATAGTGTAAAAGATGGTTCTGGTCTTCACTTAAAGGTACCCCAAATACATCTCAGGTAAAGGTGTCTTTAACATTAGTTAGGTGCCCCAAAGCTCCCCAGAGGTAAAGCACAAGGCTGGGTGGCCGGCTGAACACCCCCTCACCCCCATTCCTTTCTCTGACAAAAGCCACATACTGTGAAGCTACAACATCAAATTCTATTACTCTGGAGGAGGATTATCAGGACCGAGCGACCCTTTGCAGTGCTGAATACAAAACCCAGCTGCTGATTCATGTTTGAGGAGTCCTGGTTTCACCTGTCTCAGCTGCAGCTATTCCCTGGTATATGACAAATGCTGACAGCACCCCCCCAAGTAGATTGTTCTCATTTCTGTCTAACATCTATGAAGGGAAATGGAATCAATATGCTAGAAGGAACAATTTTCTTAGAGTTAGTGCAGCCTCAGCACATCAATAACGAATGAGTCAGGTCGCCAAGAGCTTTATGGTTCTGAGGGAATAGAAGAAGATAATGATTTCTTCGTTTCTGGTCCCCAAGACAATCTCTTGTATCACCTGCCTCTCCATCCCCCAAACTCTAACTAATAGAAGTAGGAGCAAAAGATAACAGTTCCCAGACCAAAATTAAAAAGATACACAGGAAAAGAATGAGAGGGAGCCAGAGAAGGTCAGAGGGAATGCTTTCTTTCCATCCTTTTAAGATTTAGAGGAAAAAGGTTGAGGCAACCCTCAACAAGATGGTTTGTTTTTTCCTACTGCATGCCAATAAAGCTCCAACCATTAGTCCAAGCAGCAAACTGTACTGTTCAGATCAGCCCAGATAAGAAGCTAAAAGAAAAAACTTTGTGGTTATTTTGTTTACATTTGGGAATTTCATCATCTGTGAAGTGGGTGCCAGAGGTCAAATGCTGTTGGCAGATTGCTTTTAAGTAAGACAATAAAAGCTGGTCAGAAGAAGGGGACCACTGGAAACTGTCGCTGGAAGGGCCATGGGAGAAGGTGCAAGCCAAAGGGGCTCTGAGGAGAAATGCCCTCTGGGTAATGATGGGAATTAAGGGAGGCTTTAAGCTTTTGGCAAGGGTGGCTAAAGAGAATCAACTCTCTGAGAAGAGGGAAAAATCAATGGAAAAGCGATGCTAGGAGACAGCTGACCTTTCCAGTGGAAATGGATGGCTACACATCTTGTCACAGGCTGAGAAATGCACATGTCCTAGAGTAGGCGGGGGAGAGACACTATGGCTGTCTTTT